TTTATTTTTTAAGAACAGTAAGAATTTATTTCCACGTTTCTCAAATAAAGGCCAAGCTGTTTGCTTTCTGGGGAATTAGTCAAAGAGATAAAATCCCATATCCTCATCTGACTCCTCTGACTCTTCCTTAGCTTCAACCATGGCTGGGGCTGCAGCAGGAGCAGCAGTGGTGGCAGCAGCAGAAGCAGCAACAACAGCAGCAGCAGCAGCACCAACTACAGGGGCAGCAGCCACAAATGAGATGGATCAGCCAAGAAGGCCTTGACCTTTTCAACAAGTGGGAAGGTATAATCAGTCTCCCCAGACAAAGCCAGGACACGCTTGTACCCACTCATGATAGAATGTGGGACTGAGGGAACGGTTGGGTAACCAATCTGCAGACAAACCCTGGCCACCTTGCAGACACCCTCCAGGAAATGAGAATGCAGTTTCCTCTGTGATGTCAAGCACTTCTGGGTTGTAGATGCTGTCATTGTCAAACACCTGCTGTATGATCACCCCAAAGGAGAAAGGGGAGATGTTCAGCATGTTCAGCAGTGTGGCTTCACTGGCTCCCACTTTGTCTCCAGTCTTTATCAGCTGCACATCACTCAAAATTTCAATGGTGCCCCTGGAGGTTTTCATGGTAATGCCTAAGGCCTGGAAAAGATTCTTCTTGGGCCCCAGACCAGTGTTCTGAGCCACCACAGTGAGTGCACATGGAGCAATGGTACCTGCATGGGCAGCAGCTGGCCACAGATTTATTTTTTTATGGGGCTTTTGGCTACTCTAACATTCTCCCCTCTGAAGAGGTAACCCTAAAATCTTTTAAGGATCAGATAAAAGCTCCCAAATATATTTGACATTTTTGGCCTTTGGAATGGAGTATATTGCTAAGAGCCCCAGGATATTGTGAGTTTTTGCCAAGAAACAGGTTACTTTTCTTTAGGGTCTTCTTATCCTCAGTACCTAGTCAATTCCTACCTCTTATTCTTATCACACCATCCTTTGAAGAGGTTACCCAAATTGCCAATGGAGAATTGAACACAGACCGCTCTGGCTTCTTCCAGGCTGAACAGGGACACAGAGTGAGACAATTGAAGTACCCCTTCAGTGGGCCTATCTAAAAGGCTTCCAAATTACATAACTCTTATCTCTAGGGTGAAAAGAAAGTCCTTGAATTGTGAATATGAGATGTGAAGGAGAAGTAAAGGCAAGAGTAATTAGCATTATAAGTTCTAGACGAGGAACTAGAAAAAAGTCAGAACAGGGCAATTTTCAAATGTTCATATGAGAGTCCATCAGAATTCCTTGACAAAGGCCTCCAAAAGCATCCCTCTATTAGGTTCCTCCTCATTTTTCTTTTGTCTTCCAAGGCTGGATTCTGGAGTGATGGATTCAGGATTTGCTTTCAGGTATTTTAATAGATGTCGGAGTGGTTAGACTCAGTGTCATTTTCCTCTCAAAGACTTCTAGATAGGGGGAGAAATCAAATTTATCCATCATTTTAGAACAATAGTTGGTTGTCTCCCTTAGCTACATGTAGGCACTATAGTATTTGAGATTAAGATTTGAAGTCTTTCATTTGAGCAGCGCTTTCTGGTTAGGAGCAAAATCATCAATGAGAAATAATTGTTTAAATAACTTTTCATATAGACTTAAGCTTAGTGTGTGGGAAGTGTAATGCCTTGAACTCTTAAAGAAATATATTGATGACTTTACTCTTAGGTTATACTTTCCTTTTGGGTGTTTAAGGCCATACAGTTGGCCCAAATAAATCAGTTTGTATATATACTTAAAGTCATTTGAGGATTTGTTCCTCAGTGGTCACATTGGCTTGGGAGGGGCCCCTGCTGCAGTGCTTTTACCAGTTCCATCTATGTGAAGATAAGTCAAAGGTCCTTCTCAACCATGGCTGGCATCACTTGGAAGCATGGAGGAAATGTTTCCTGTGAGTTGATCCTCCTCTTTGTAGATTGGACACTGGTTCAAGTCCATCTGGTGGGGTTTCCATGGCCTCCCTGAACAAGAGGACAGGTGACTCTCCACAGTTACAAGACATTTTGACAGATGTTCCATAGTCCCCTGGAACTTAGTTGACCTTGGAACGTAGATAAGCCTTGGGTAAAAAACCAAATATTCTCAGATAAACCTTGAGTAGATATTTATTTTGTTCCTTAAACTAGTTGACTAAATTATGACCATAGACATTTTAATATTATGTGTATTATTTTTATCTTATCCTTTATATATAATAACAAAACTACACAGACCTTCATCATTTACTTAGGCTTTCTCATTTTTTTCTACTTTGGAAAATATCTCCATTCTCATATCCTTTGAACATCTTTTACATTCTCATTTTCTTTTTTTAAAAAAGTATGAGACACAATAGAATTAACAAATAATTTTTTATCTGTTGTGAGACTTCTTTTCCTCAGAATGCTAAGCAATGTTTATTCCCTTTTAAGGTTCTAGTGTCAAGCCAATATTTGATTAAAGTTTTACTGGGGAACCAATGAATTTATTGAGCTTACTTACAAAGATAACTGAGGGGTTGCTGAGGTGTATGTATGACCTGAGGGTATGCACATTGGAAAGACTTTACCTAGCATGGGTCATGCCTTCTCTTCTTAGCCTTCCCCAGATTGTATACTTTAGCCCTCCTCAAATCCAGGAAGCCATGTGTCATTAGGGTCAAATTATATACATTTGGCTGGGGAGAGTGGCTGGATAATCTGGTGAGGGTCCAATGACCTTGCTTGGCTCTCCCTTAATGAATGAACACAACCGTCAACAAGCCCAATTGTGACGATGTTTAGTGATCAGGCTCAGCTGAAGTTGTGATGATGGTAATTATTTAATGCAGAAGGGACTGCTGTAGAGCATCATCTTATTAAAAGGACCTGGACTTTAAAAGAATTTGGTGCTAGGATCCACATATGAGGGAGAACATATGTCATTTGTTTTTCTGAGTCTGTGTTACTTAGCTTAGTATAACAGTTTCTAGATCTATCCATTTACCTGTTTAGTTTTTTAAACCACACTGCTTTCAATAGTGGTTACATGAGTTTGCATTCCCACCAGCAGTCAGTGAATGAGCGGACCCTATTCTGCACATTCTCATCAGCATTTGGTGTCATTTGTTCTCTTGATCTTAGCCACTCTTATTGGGGTCAAAGGAAACCTTAAAGTTGCTTTGATTTTTATTTCCCTAATTACTAAAGAGGTGGATCATTTTTAAAAGTGTTTCTTAGTCATTTTGTTTCTTTATTTGAGAACTCTTTGTTCAGGTTCTTAGCCTATCTTTTATTGGGTCTTTTGTTTTCATGTTTCTTTGATTTCAGAATTCTTTAAAGTAAATTTTAAATCACTCTGACCAACCACTTGAAGGGAGTTCTCTCCTGTCTGGTTCTGTGTTCCTTGCCATACAGCCCCCAGGTATACATATGTACTAATATCCAGGCACCGTATGTGTATTTGTCAGGGGTTTTTGAGCAATGCATTTCCCTCTGGTTTCTGTAAGCCCCCAAGTTCCATTCACCTCTACTCTCTATCCCTCCATCCAACCTCACTCCTCTCTCCCCAGTTCAAGGGCTCCTATTATTCCTTCCCTCTCCCCTTAACACCAAGCTCCCATCCTTCCCTCTTTCCTGAGTTCCCTCCTCCCCCACAATGGCCCCCTGCATGTCCCTCCCTCCTCTCCTTCCAGGAGAACACTCTCACTTTCCCCACTCCCCCCTGGTAACATCAGTTCCCTACTATTCACCTCTTTCAGTTTCTTTCTTTCCTTTACCTCTTATTTCTTTTCCATTTTCCTAGCTTCTGTTGTCACATCAGGATATATACTTACATATAAAGCATTGGTGTTGTGATGTGCAAATGGGGGAGAGTATGGGGGCACGCTGGTCGCCAGGCTTGGGGTGCGCAGGTATCTGCTCCTGCGCTGCTTCCCTACATCCTCCGTGGCTCTCTGCTGCAGGGGCTTTGCCCAGCCGAGTCCCGCCCTAATTTCACCTGTGCACTTTCCTCAAGATGCAAAATCCACCGGCCGCTGGATCACATGGAAGAGTGTGAGGGCGGCTAAAGCTGGGATCCGTGAGTTGGTGATGGAAAGACAGCTCTTCCCGGGAAGACTGGATCATAGGCAGTGAGACAAGACTCAGCTCATCAGACTCAGTGTTACAGCTCTTTATTCAATGGCTCTGCGTGGCTCCAAGCCTCAGTGTCCCAGAGTGATCCAGCTTCTTCAATTATTGAGGGGAATCAGGGAACTTTATACCGTGGGGGTAGTGGTAAAAGCTTCAGCTGATAGGTACTTTGGGGATGCCTCATTTGCATGTGGAAATGGACTCCCGCCAGGCTGCCAAACTGCTTAAAAATCACACAGGAAAGCCTAATAGTTACAGAGCCCGAGGCTACATTCCTGTGGCTGCTACTTCACAAAGGAGTCAGGAAAAATGCCAGGAAGATGCCCTGCTGTGAAAGGAGTCTCTGCATATGGCTCCGAGCTCGTGAGCTATCTGGACATGAAGAAACTTCTACTTTACACAACAAAGGTCCCCAACAGGAGAGCATATGTTGCTTTCTTTCCTGTGTTTGTATTACTTCACTTAGTATAAGTGAAGCCTCTATTTATATCCATTTACCAGCAAAATTCATCTTTTTCTTACTGTGGAATAGAGCTCCATTGGGTAAATGTACCATATTTTCATTATCCATTTGTCAGTTGAGAGACATTTAGGTTGTTTCCATTTCTTAGCTATTGTGAAGAGAGCACCAACAAACATGGATGTACAGCTTTCTCTACAGTAGGATGAGTCCTTTGGATATATGCCAAGGAGTGGTATAAATGGATCATATGGTAATGGGGTAGGAACAGACCTGGAAGCCTTTTAACTGAAGTTTAGCTGTCATAGTTCTGGAGGATACTATGCAAGCCGCTAAGGGAGAAAATCAATCAATTGTCCAACCCAGCCCTAAAGCCTAATAACCTTAATGGCCAGCACAACAAACTACCTCTATTGTTGCAGCAGTGGTCCTGCTATCTGGAGACAAGTATACTGTACACCACTCATCAAAGAAGCTTAGAATATAAGTTTGAGAGATGTCCAGTTCTTGGTGATGTAACTGCAGTGGAACCTCTACACCTAAGACTCATGGAACATAGCACAACAATGGAGGGTAGAGAGGAAACTAATGTATCCTTAACTCTCACCAGTGAAGATTCCTTCCAACAGAGTGTGATGCATAGAAAAGGCCACAACTAGCCAACTTTTAAAGAACAAGGGACAAGAGTGCTGGGCGTGGTGGCATATGCCTTTAATCCCAGCACTTGGGAGACAGAGTTGGGTGGGTCTCTGTGAGTTCAAGGGCAGCCTGGATGGAAGTTCCAGTCTGGCTGGGGCTACCTCAAAACGACTGAATATATATATATATATA